ATGGTCACTACTTTAACTTGGTGACATGACCTGTTATGACTGGTCATGTCACAACACTTTTATTATATTTTGATGATATGACTTGGTCACTTAGTCATTTAGGTCACATCCGGTCATGTTCCAACACTGCAGCTTGAGGTTGATCGGCTTATAAATAGATCGGCTCTGATTTGTTGAGCGAATATCAGCTCAGCTTGATCAATGTTAGCTGTGAGCCGAGCCAAGCTGAGCTATTCGTATCATTATTGATACATAATACGATAATCAAGTAATAATTTTGGGTTTTAATTTAAACCAATTCCAATAATTCATCGTAATGATTTATTTTGATTAGCAGAAACTTCGTTTTCGCTTATTCATATACAGATCAGGATATTCATTAATCTCCCATAATCTTATATAGTGACCAGGAGATTATATAAGTAACACCAAAAGATTGATTAGTAAATTATAATTAATTATTATCTGTGTTTATAAATTGTAGATATTAATTGCAATCTTCTGTATTATAATTTTAAACATAAAATTGTATAACTTTATTATAAGGCAATTTCTATGAACACTGTGTAAATACACGGGTAATATAGAAAGCCAATCAGATTACACGATCAGGTGTAACGCAAAATTATTAAAAATCATTATGAACCAAGATTTTGACCTTTCGAATATTACAGTAATAAAAAAAATTCCCTGTGAAATTCTGGTATAAACTACTATCCCGCCTTCATCCGAAATTCCTTACCCTAATCTTAATCAGCATTAATTTTTTTTTTATACAATGGTTTAACAAATCAATACCCCGTGTACTATACACTACGTGTAAAATTAGAAATTTTCTATAATAGATTGGCTTTTAATAATTAGCATAAATAATATTTAATCATAGTAAAAATAAAGTTTGTTTAATATAAATTTAATTTTAGGGAGCTGACAGAAAAGAGTTAATATACCCCCACCCTCTCCCCCCACCCCCCTTTATACCCCCTCTTTGCCCCCCTTTGCCTCTTTTACCCCAAGTGGGGGTAAAAGAGGCAAAGGGAGGGTAAAGAGGGGGTATAGGGGGTAAAAGGGGTAGGAGGGTAGGAGGGTAGGGTAGGAGGGTAGGGTGGGTGGGTGGGGTATATATTAGCTCTTTTCTGTTAGCTCCCTTAAAGCAATTTTATAAATATTGCTAGAGTTAAGGATTGGAATCGGTTTAGTCGGCTAAAAAATTTTTATAGTAAGCTACTATGTTTAGTCGACTAAACATAGTAGCCGACTAAACCGATTCCAATCCCTAGCTAGAGTGATATTTAAAAATTGCTTTAAAACTAAATTTAATATTAATAAATTTATTTTAAATTAAATAATTTTGATAAAGTTAAATTATTAAAAATAAAATCTACTGGTAATGCCATTTTTCTGAAAGAACATAATACTGACTAACTGGTCAGCATTATAACTAATGCCGGCTAGCTTTATCAGTATTAGGTCCTTTCGGGTGATAAAACCTTTAAATTTATAATATCTATTTATTTTTAGTAAATTGTATAATAGATATTAGTATTGTTTGTTGCAAATATTAATTGTGCTTTTTTATAATGCAACTAGGGTTGCAGCACTTGTAATTTTAAATATAAAATTTTGACAATAAGCTACAAATTATAAAAATATGCTAATAAATAATGGTTTATATTGAATAACAACCAACAAATCTATACATTTTTTTTACTATTTTTTTAAATACAATATCTGAATTGAATAAATATATAAGATTATATTTATAGTTATACTGTACACATATATGTTCTTTAACAAATTATCTTTAAAAATCAAACATTCAAAAAAATATATACTGTATATACTGTATTAAGCTAATAAACCAGTTTAATCTACACATACTATTACAGACAATAACAATATGCTATAAACAATATAATCTTAGATAATAAAATATTATCTCAAGCAGTATGCTAACTATGAGTAAACTGCAAATAATCTCAACAGACTTTGTCAAATCATACATAGCTAATTTAGCAATTTGATCAAATAATTCAACCCAATAAGCTTCAGTTGTTCTATAACACAAATTAGTACGATTAAAAATTATCATAATCGCAGAAAACCCAAAAATATATCAGTACACTTAAGATCAAACCCAAAAAAAATTAATCAACTATAATTAATTCTGCAGCTGTCGTTACGTATACGTAGAATAAGGCGTATGCTTGATATATAGCCAAGACCTCTCAAAATAATAGACCCGCCATGAATTAGTTCTCTAGGATCAAGTTTAATATAAGGGATCCTACTCTAAATTCAATTGATTAATAATCAATTTAAACAATTTTATTAGTGGGATCCCTTATACTAAACTTAATCCGTTCTCTATTAAATCCAATGCACGGTTTTTTCAAATGACTAGATTGTCTATTATAAATAAGAAGTGCTTCAGATTTTTCTTTTCACGATATAACCTCTTCAGCCGTGTAGCAAAGAAAGTTAGTCTATAATTTTATTAAATTTGAGAATGGGAGTCTATTTCAATATCACTTGATGAATTAATATGTACCAATCGGAAGTGTATAAAAAGTTGCCCTATTTAATTGACCAATTACGAGAAAGTATATGGTTATATTTTATGGAGTAGAGAGGCATTTTTAAAATTACATCTCTGATAATTTAAACCAGAACGTAGCTTTTATATCAATTTTGACAAAAACACATAAAATCCTCCGGACAATAACACAGTAATACTCAATATAATTCAATAGCAATAGCCAAACAAAATCGAATAAATAAATTTATAAAATATACGACCATGATGCGAGCAGCTTAGTTGCATCAAATATTTTAAAAATTGCAAAAGTTCAATTGCAAAAAAATTTATATATTTAAGTAGCTATTGACAATATTGAACAAACTATGTATAAATTTAGTTTTAAACTTTTTAAACCTTTTAAAGAAAATTTAACTTAAAAAAAAATTTCAGCACAAATCTGAGAAAACAAAAGATTTAACCAATCCGATTCAATCTTATAAGTAATGGTCAGCAAAATTTTCAGCACTAACATAAATAATTTGCGCCTAGACCATAATCATCTGAGATAATGAACATCAAACACTTCACAAATAGGCAAAAAGACGTCGCAGTTTAAAGTGTAAATACTTTTTTCGTTTTTTTTTTTGCTCTGAGGTAAAAAAAAAAAACTCAAAAATTTTTGCTTCCAATAATTTTTTCAACAGAACCTGCGTCAGAATAAAAGAAAAATGCTAATGATATAATGAAATAAGTGGCAAATAGTAATATGCCTGCAAGCCAATTTGATCTTCCATCCTATATTCAAAATTAGAAAAGTTTAAAATAATTATTGATATTTGAGAAAAGAAATTTATTTTAAATACCTGAATTAAATAATTAGTAATCAAGACAGAAACGAACAAAACTACAGTTTCAAAGGTTTGGAAGAGCAATGTCATTGGTTGACCAATAATCCATCCAAGGATTACTGTGAATGGAGTAAGAAACAATGCGATTTGCTATTTTATGGATTTAATTTAATTTTTTGAGATAAGGTTGAAAATATTATTATTGAAAGATTGAAAGAATAATTCTATTTACCGTTGAGCTACCAACAGCAATACTAATAGCCAGATCCATCTTATTTTTCATTGCTACTTTAATTGCAGACGCATGCTATTACCGTAAAATCGTATGTATTTAGCTTTTATATGCAGGAAGGCTACAAACACAAAGTTCATGTAACTTATAGGACTTTGGTAGCGGTAGGGATGTGAAAAGTCCAGTCCTATCCGGTCCGGCTCGACTCCAAAAGTCAAGTCTTTATTAAAGTTCTGTTTAGACATATATCCCGTGTATTTAAATATAGCCCAACGATCGCAGAAAAATAAACTTTTTTCTGCTATATTTAAATATACTAGGTATATGTATATAGATTCGAGTCGAGTCCTAAGTTTGAATTCAGGTCAAACTCTGACAAAAGACTTGACGTTTGGAGTCGAATCGGACTGGATTTTTCACAGTCTTAGATAATGGTTATGTGGAGTCCATAAGTACTGTATTTTCTCAGAAATCATTTTTATACGTACGTGTGACTCTATGTGAAATTCTGAATAGTGATTTTTAGATTTTTCACTTTTTTAAACTCATAGTTTGTTGTATTTCTAATCAAGAGTTATTTAAAGATCGCTATTCAAATTTCACTTGGCGTCACACGTATTAAAATATAACACAATCGCATGTGTTTAAATCAAATATGTATGTATATATGTATTCACGTACCTCAGCAGCATTACCAACGATTGGTAACAAAATTAACCCAACAAAAGTTTTAC